GTTTGTGCTGCAAAATGATGAGCAAAGCTGGAAATGAGTTTTGAGAGTGTCCCTACTTTGCCTGAGCAAGCGTGATTATATTTTTTAAAAATTGCGACTCTTTAAGTTGCTTATGATCTCCTCTGATGAATCCTGACCCACATTTTGAGAACTCTGATCTGCTGTAATGATGGGAGAAAATAATTATGGTTCCACTGATATTTCTTGCTGCAGTTCTCCCAATTTTGTCCTCTTGATAAAGCTGTCCTGCTGGCTCAGAGAACATGCTTACTCATGGCTGCGGCTGCTGATCTGGACATAAGCCGAAGCAATTTGTTGCCTGCCGATAAGGTAGGATTGGGATGGAAGGAACATGTTATACTTTTGTGTTTTAAGACTAGTCCCTCGTGGAAGTTCAGGGAAGGCCTAATTTCATTTTTGATGAGATGTCATGATGAGATGACATCTGCCTGCTTGTCTTTGGAAATGAGAATGATATTTGATACCCAGGCCATTTTTCCAGCACTCCACATTTTATATTGTAAATCTGTATTCGTTCTACCCTTTTGTGCTTATTTGGAGAATCTTGCAGCGGCATTTTCATTAAAAAAAAATATCTAGGCATTGATTATCCATAGATAAGCTTAAATTATATATGCAAAAAATAAGGAGATGCATTCTCCCCGACCACCCCAACAAATATTGTAATGCTCTTACGGTACAGTTTATCTGAAATTTATGTTGGCTTCCAAAGCAGGCTGAACTGCTGACTCAGGCCCTCGAATACATCCAGTCATGCAGAGTGATCTGGAAAGTCTTGAAGCAGACAGGTGAGCTAGAATTTCTATGGCCAGATGCTACTAACTTCAAAGTAAGAATTGTGAGACCTTTTTGCCTTAGTGATGGCAATAGAATGCTGTTTGCTTGGGATGCACAAAATGTCCGAGGCTTGGGAGAATGACTGATGAAAAGGAGTAAGTTAGAATGAGTGTTGATGGAACTTTTGGATTGACACCCTGAATCTGTGTATATTTGCTCAGAAATAAATTCTACTGTTTTGTGTGTGTGTGCCTTCGAGTCAGTTTTTGACTCCTGGTGACTGCCTGGACTGTCCCTGCAGTTTTCTTGGCAAGGTTTTTCAGAAGTGGTTTGTCATTGCTTGCTTCCTAGGGCTGAGAGAGAGGGACTGGCCCAGGGTCTCCCAGCTGGCTTCGTGCCTAAGGCGGGACTAGAACTCACAGACTCCTGGTTTCTAGCCTGGTGCCTTAGCCACTACACCAGACTGGCTCTGTTGAATTGGTTTTACACAACTGTTAACTATATGGAGAAAGGCTAGTGGTGGTGGAAGGACAGATGAGACTGTATGACCCTGAGAAAGACAATGAGAAGAGGATCTGGGAAAAACATACCTTACGTTTGAAACATTCGGTTTGAGAATTGTCCCTGAGGCTGAAATCTGTCAGGAGTACAAGCCTGTTTCACTTGAGAGTCACTTGAACACTTTCAAGCAAGGCTGTAGCTTTTTCAGTGCAGACTGTGGGGCTCTCTGGGCCCCAAACTTCAGTGTAAACTGAGAAGCCAGGCTGAAGCTGCAATCTCCTCTTAAGCTTAGCGAAGCAACGGAAATGAGGTAGAAAGGTACTTGCTGCAGAAAGATGAGATTAGGGTAACTCCAGTGGTGTTTAATACCATTAATTCTATGAAGGCAGCCAGTCACTTTACAACCTAGCCAATTGGGTAAACCCAGCCTGTGTGATTAGTTTATGGTTCCACGCGGTCTGTGAACCCGGGGCTGACCATGGGTTAGCATCATGGAAAAACAGGCTCTAAATGGAGAAGGCAAGGAATCTTTGCAAGTCTTCTAGCTAACACAAATAAGATACATTTTCTATCCTTAACAAGAAACATTTTCTATCAGAACTATCTCCATGTGCTTTCAAAGTTTAGATATGTTTGTAAACATCAGCCCTCACCTCATACATTCCCCTTATCTTTTAGTGAAAACCAGATAGGTGTTGCCCAATATCTATCATTACTTCATAGACTCACAAATGCCAGTCTCCCATCTGTGTACCCTCCACGGTACAGGACTGGGGATCATTTTGCTCACCCTGGTAACATCATTAGCTGATGTCCTAGATCAACTAAAATGGGACTCGCTTTTTGCTCAATAGGTGATTTCCCCAAAGATCCAACAGAGACAATATTACTGCTCTATGAATTTGAAGCCAGCGCCAAGCTAAATACCCCTGCAGTGTCCGGCCTGTTAGACCAAGCACTGGCGCTTCCACAAGTGGAGATCAAGACTCTGGAAACTATTGCATGTAAGAGCCAAGCCTGCTCCTCCGATGGGAACCTTGCATTTCACAGCGAGTCGCGTCAAATGTTGCCTCCCCGAGTCTGAGGCAATGAAGCAACCTGCCATGCTGAAAGTAGACATTGAAAAAGAGCGTTATGGAGGCAGTTGAAATTTCCGGTATACCCACCCCCTGCCATTGAAGCTGTTATGCTCTCAGCCTTTTTCCATTTGAGCAGCAGTCCCATAGTATTGTAAAACAGCATGTGGACAATGGTTTTAAAAGTGTCTCTTTTTTCCATGACTTCTCTCTCAAGCATTGGCCATGGAATCACCAGCTCACTATCCCTCCATGTGTAAGAGGGCTCTCAAGATGATCTTGACTATCCTCAGGAAATGTGAATCTATTGATACAATCACCTATAGGTAAGTAGTTGCCCTGAGAAGCAGATGGGTGCAATAAGGAGAGTTCATCCTGGCTGCATATGCAGTGGGAGGTTTTAGGAAGAGGATGGCCGTTACAGTAAAATTCTTAATGAAAGGCAGATTAGACACCATCTTATTTCCTCTCAAGAAAAAAGTCTCTAGGTATTTCTTCCTCACTCATTTGCTTCTTTCTGAAAAGCCAATTGAAGAAGCTCCGCTGGCTTGAGATGAGGGAATGGGTAAGAATGTCCCGGTGATGGTTACCAAGAGCCAGGCTGACGTAGCACGAGGTTGCTTGCTATGAGGTTTGGATGCATTGCAAAGGAGGCAGGCAGGTATTGTGCGTGTGCTTGCCTAAAGGCTGCCCTTTCATTGTATTTTACTACTCAGCAAATGTCTACACAGCTTGGTTCACCTTTCTCTGCCATCGGGCCTGGTTGAGGCAGATGTTTGTGTGCTGGAGGAGGCCTGGGCCTATTTTGAAGATGCTTTAACCATTTTGGACAACGCAGTTAGTATCATTCAGCTTCTTTCTGTTCCAGCCCTTTCCCAGGACTACTGCAAGTATGCCAGATGTGCGTTTTGATAGAGCAGAATATTCATCTGGCCTTTCATGTTAACACAACAGGCCTGTGTGGACAGAGCACAACATCCTGTGTGTGTGTGTGTAAGTGGACCACACTTCTGTCTAGGCAGTTAAAATATAGGCAATTTCTCTTTACATGTGTTAACATATCCAACAGCATTAAACCAAAATACAGACGTATACAAGTCCTTTCCTCTCTTGGTTATATCACTACTAGAACTACGACTATGCTGGGACTGAGAGCTCTGATGTGTTCATTTGAATGTCAGCAGGTGTTACAGACCGGTTACCCAGAGGTGGAGATAATCTGGCTTATGACTAGAGCTTGGAACACAGGCATATACCAGTACTGTGCTTGCAAATACAAGGAAGCAGAGCAATGGTGCGGCCTAGGAATGCGGTTCTTGGCATACCTGGGAACTCTGAAAAACAGCTACGAGAATCAGGTGAGTGCGGGCGAGTACAGGAGTTAATCATGCTCCAGAGCACCCTCTGGAATGGCCTGTCATAAAGGAGCACGTGCCCAGGAGCCATTGCATTGGGGAAGGAAACCACTTGTTGGGATTTCAGTCCCTTGGATTTGATCCCAAAAACTCTTTCAGAGCACGCAGGGGTCCAAATACGTCTCTCTGGAACTAAAACAGCTTGCACCCTTTCCCGATCAGTGGCAGCCCACTCCTAAGCAGTTGTTGAGTCTGAAGAACTGCAGACACGGCAGATAGTGCTGAATGCCCTCCTTGGTTGTTTGCCTGTCGCTTCCCCACACTCTCTCGGTTGCATAAGCTAATAGGAGGACTGCGCTCCATAGCACTGCCCAGCGCATCATGCTGATTGGCGAAATGACTTGGGGTGACTTTTGTCCACAGATGATCGGTGTTTACGGTGAGGTGCTGGATAAACTGGACAAAGCAGAGACACTCCACTCCAAAGAGTGACCACGACCGTGGCCACAACGAACGGCCTTACGCGGTGCTGGCGTTATAGGCGCTCACTGCTAGCAATCGTTGGCAAGTGGAACGCTAGCACTACTCCATGGAGTATGTTTCAGAAGCATGAAGTTGAATAAAGGAGTCCTAGTTGTTTACAAACACATTTCTCTTCCCTTGTATATTTTGCAGCTTTTTTTCTAGAAGCTCCATGCAGTCTGCCCAGGCAACTCACCCATTTTATCCCAGCAGGATAGGCACGAAGAGATCAAACAGTCCCATAGATGGGGAAGAATCTAAACCCAGACCTGCAATTCAACTCCCTATCTAGTGTATCACATATGCCTAGTTTCTGATGTCTCTTAACACAGCTATAAAGGCAGTTTCTCAAGCATGCAGATAGTTACTTCTAAATGTTTGCAAGTAACAATAAAGAGAATCCATTTTGAGTAACTGCATACCACATTTTATCTAGTTTTTCCTCAGAAGATTCAGGACAGGCAAAATCAACTGCACACAGCACGTATCTTTAACTAAGGAATTTCTTCTACATTGTAATGATGACCAGCAACTTGAAAAGCTTTAAAAGAGGATTACAGAACTATGGAGAAGGCACTTATGAATGGCTGTTAGGCATGCTGTCTAACTGAGCTCACACAGAGATGCGGGTGACAGAAGCATCAGCTACGGATTAATACTTCTGGCACGTGAAGCTCTGCAATGTAATCTTGGCCCCCAAAGCCAACCCCTCCGTAAAGGACTTCACAAGAAAATAGCAGCAGACAAGTTCATTGCAATGTTCATTTATTAAAAATATATGTCTCCTTGGAAGAAACACTGGTAAACCCACTAGTGTCGTGATTGATACTTTCAGCTATGCCATGGAGTACACAGGCCTTTCCTCCATGAGCCTAGAAGACAAGGTGACAGGCTGTTACAAAATAAAAGTAATAGGAGCCCAGAGACTAGCCACCTCGAAAGCTGTTTCTACTGTGCATAGTCCAGCTCTCAGGAACATGCCTCGCGACACAAGCTGAGCAGAGGAAGCAGGCGGCAGCCTCCAATCCGAATCCCTTCCGCCAGGGACTCAGACGTGGTAGCAGCTTCCTCTTCTTTATCCTCACAATCCTACCAGTGAACAGCAGCTCTAGTACTTCCAAAGTTCCACTTGCAACACCAGCTGATGTGGAAATGGCTTCTCGCTTACCAGAATGAATCTCCGCAAGATGACAGTTTTCACCCATGTTTAACAATGAAGGCCGTGCACAAATCACACAACGAATGATATAGCTACCTACCAGCTATGGAGTGGACAGCATCAACCTGCTACAAGCCAAGGCCTTGTCCTACTCACTGGATTAGGACTAGGACAACTCGGATCTCCTACCACAGCAGCCATGGTGGAAATGAGATGTGTACAATCACCTGTTTCAAACTTGAGAGTGGGGCAAGATGAAGAAAGTGGGAAAATCTTCCCCGTTGGCCCACGGGCAAGGATTTGTACCGATTTAGGAATGCTTGAAAACTCCACCCAGAACTCTCACTGATCCAACTTATTCAGTAATAAAAAAATCTTTTTGCACCTACAGTTTACACATTGACATGACCATGTATCAAGGCTTCCCATTAGCAGCTGGCCGCAGTCCATGGAAGACTAACAGTCTGTGCCACACAGAGAGCGCATTCTAAATTGCACTTGCCCTTTGCTATCCTGAAGAACTGCAAGGAGATGTTGGCAGCAAGGAATGGCTGGGGTCCATCTCTGCAACAAGGATTATGTAGAAACACAAAATAAGACGGATGGTGCTATTCTCCACGGAGCGTCTGAGGATTAGCTTGGTCAGGAAGGGCTTCAAGTGTTGCAACCAGAATTTGGCACAATTCTGCTAGAATAAGAACTTTCCAGATTAGTCTCTCATAAATTTTCCACTGTCTGGTTGAAAGAGTGACCCTCCAAGGCACAAGCTTCTCTTCCCATCATCTGCTGCTTCCAACTTCTCGCTGCATGGAACTCAATGTTCTTCCACCAGAACAAGTCAGTGGGATGGAGTTTAGTCTCTATAAGGGACCTGACTGCAACACAGAACAGCTGCTGTGCTCATTCCACACGGTCTGGAGGTTGGGTCTGGAAACTATTTACAATGGAACAATCTTAAAAAATAAGTTAAAAAACTGGATTGTATACCCGTTCAGTTCATTATTAAAATCAAAAGCTTGGAATAATGAAAAGCCAACACACCAACACAAACATGATTTTGGTTTAACAGCAGCTTAAAAAAACCTCTCATGCAAACACATCAGGTGACATAAAACAATGTGCAGTTAATATGTAGCATTATCCATTTGCTTCTGCGTGCTCAAATAAATTGTTGTAACTTATGTGGTTCTGGGCCCTCCGTTCACTCCATAATCACAGTGCTGGCTTCTCTCTTTCCAAATGCAGCCTTCTGCACCAACTGGCTTTGGAAAAACCACGGAACAGCACCCCAAAACACGCAGTACCATTAATTTCACCTCCAACCACAGCGGTTTCTGTCCCAATGGCTGAGACAAGGCGGCAATTCTTTCGCTAACGACATTCCAGCAGCCCCCTCATGTTCTCTAGTCCAGATATATATAATATATAGAGCATATATTATATATATAATTACGTACCTAGATAAATAAAAGCATTCTGTTGCTTTTTCTTCTTGGTAAAGGTGCCCCAGGCTGCCAGTCTCCATTATATTTAGAGGGGCAACAACTGTCCAAGTCTGTTGCGTTAGTGGTTCTTGAGGCTGGTTGTCATCTGCCACCTCCTGCCTTGCTTTCTGACTTTAACAGTTGATGTATTATTTTTTTTTTAATTAAAAACACACAAAACTCTCAAATAGGGTTTGTCTCCATGTCTAAGGGAGCAGCAGGAAAGTCCATGCAGGAATGGCGGGGACAGTCACTTGATGGAGGAGACTGGTCCGTCCCAAGAAAAAGAAAAACAGGGCTAGAAAACGCAATTGTCAACCATCTAGAAAAGGGACAGGGATGGTCTTCTCGTGCCCCTCTTGGGGCAGAGGACTGGGGGAAGGGTCGCTGATCTTCTAACAGGTTGATTGAAGGAGGGGACATCACAGTTTCTCAGAGGATGGGATCCAGATATAATGCCCAGACTGGTCCTCTATTATCTGTTTGATTTTACTGTAAATCTCTTCCAGGGAGTCTCCTTGTACAATGGCTACAGAAGTAGAACAAAAGTAGTTTACTAGAGAAGAAGGGTCATATTTCCTTCCCCCACCTCCAAGTGGCAACTTACTGTGGCAAACTACCTTCCTTAAAAGTTGCACACCCCCAACAGCAGCAAACCTGAACTTGCATTATCTCCCCATTTTTAGGTACACGGAAATCTCTTAGCTCCTTCCAATTCCCGCAACAAAGTCAGCATAGACAGAGATGAGTTCCCACAACAGGCTCAAGAATGACCCAGCAGAATTCTCACCTGTAAAGTACTCTCCAAACTCCTGCTCCAACTTCATGGCTTTGTCAAAGACCTTGTTGGCTTGTTCATACGTTTGCCTCCGATTCATCTCCCTGAAGGCCCAGAAAAAACAGCCTCAGGACAAAAGCATCTGACCAAACAAACGCTCGCGTATTTCTGCCACTGTCTGAAATCTGACTCTCCCTCAACTCTATCAGGAGCTCCTGGATTGCCGGGGAAATGCCACAAAAAATGTCATCCTCTCAGCTCTACCAGAAACAACCGATGGAGGACAAGCAGAAGGGGGGTGGCCTCGGAGAGAGTTCATGGCCCACGGATGGTGTGGAGCCACTGGAGGCCACAGACAAACCAAGACTGGCAATTCTCAGGGCCGGGCGCAGGGGAATGCATCCCGGAGTAGATTTAAAAGAATGCACTCGGCGGGCAAGAAATCCATCACTGACATGACTCTCCAGTGCCCACATCATCATTAAATAATCCCTCCAGAGAAATTGGACACGACCTGCCACCATCACTGAATATTCAGGGCCTCCCCCCCACCATGACCTTCCCGTGGCAGTCACTGCATTGCTGATCTCCTGGGCATGCTGCCCCTCTTTCAACAGGTGCATTCCCTCCCACTGTTCATCCCCCTCAAGGTAGCATCCAGGTTAAGCAAATTCCTAATCTCTGTGCTACTCACATGAGCGCTTCGATGGATTTGGGCTTGATGAAAATCGCAATTGGGTACAGTTGTGCTTGCTGCAATCTTTTGATAGCATTGCCCGACACATCAAGGATACAGTGCTTCCCCTAGAGTAGGGCAGGGCATCAGTTATTACAAAGCCTTTGCACAGCACTTTAAATAAGCTTTGCCATTGTCCCCACAACAAACTCATTAGGAGGGCTGTAGCCAAAAGCGGCTGAGACACCACACATCTGCCTACTAGGTGGGCAGTTACTGAAAACGTTTTAGAATTTAAATCAGATCAACCCTCTGAAGGTAGTAACCAAGTATGCGTTGAGTGGCTAACTCCTGAATGTAATGGGAGCAGCAGCTCCAAAACGTGATGCTGCTGCTCCTCCTGGCATTATACAAGCCACAAAGCTTTAGCTCAAATCACAGTCTGCTGCTGGCTTGACTGTGGACACAACACAGAGGACCCATGAACTGAATTACAACAGAAGTCCCAAGCAGGTTACAGCTATATGGCCGGGCAGCACATTGTGCAGGACTCACCCGCTCAGCCACTGCCCGCACAGACTGAACACTAGTCCCGTAGAGATTGTCGTTGAACTGGCCAGCTTCGATAAATTTGCTGTCCTGAATGTCCTTCTCCATCTGTTCCCGTGACACCACAAAGTGGTAATCTTGTCCATCAACTTCATTTTCACGCCGTGGCCTGGTAGTGTCTGAAAGAAAATACGTTTGCTTTTTCTGTTGTTCAGAGAGCAGTGTCCTCCTCTGTAGGCCCATAGCTATTGCATCCTTACGCATCGATAGGTGTGGCTAACCTTGACTGTATAGCTTGGCATTTAAACTATCCTGCACGAAAGGACCATTCAAGTGATAAATATGAACACTCACTCTCTTCTCATACAAACATCCAGAGCACAGGGCCTTTGAATGCTTAACTGTCCATTAAGTCTTCCTTCCTCAAAATACAAGGGAGCCATTACTTACGGGGCACACAGGATCCAAACTTGTGTGGAAATTCTGAGATGAGGTCATCGTTGACTCGGTCTTTCATGGGCCCCAAAACAATCACTGGCCTTGCGTAGTGAACTACAAAGACAATCAAAAAGATAACAAGGAGTTTCAGTCTCTGTTCAGCTGTGCAGTTCAAAGCCAATCACGAAAAATACCATGGAGCAATCTCAGATCTAAGCTGTCCTCCACAACTGAGATGGAGGACCAGCCTTCTTTCCAACTTACTTTCTTGCCGTGTCACAGGTTCATATGACAGAATTGTGTCCTCTTGTCCTTCTGAAAGAATTGGAAAGAATCAACTGGCCTTGCAGCAACAACAACACACCTCACTGCCAAATGGCAACTTCTATTAATTTCTTACTGACATTTTCATTTTTCTTTAGCAATCAGGGAGAAGGAAAGGTTTCTCTCTCCACCATGTGTACTTTTCTTTTAGCTCTATCTTTGCAGAACTATCTCTGAGGAGCCACCTTACAAAGGAGAGTGTGGAGCTTGTAGTCCTCCAGTCTGTGGAAATGCAGTTCATAGCAGCCCAGCCAGTATGGCCTAACGATGATGGAGACTGGGATTTATAGTTCAGCAGCGTAACTATAATTCACTCTTGTTCAAAGAGTTTTCCTTCCCCAGTTTGAAGAGCAGATCAAATTACAGGCACTCATTGGCAGGTTCGGGAGCGCCCTACGTCAGCGGGAATAGGACACAACTTCCACCTCTGATCCAAAGTCCCTTATCTACTCATTTGGACTTTAGTAAACTGGATTCCTCTAGTATTACTAAACGGTGGCATAAGTTACAAAAAAAAAGCAGTATCCGAATGAAACTGCACGGTATTCAGGCCTTGGTCTCTGCTACCTGAAATGAATCCATTTTACCTGACTGATTTATGCTATGCTCCAACCCCAAATGCTTGGAACCAACTGAAAGGAACTACCAATAATCCCACGAACTGCACAATATACTACATCTCTGACTAAACCTGACCTCCAGCACTAGGAGTGAAGCAAGAAGAAAACTCAGCTTGGAACAAATAGAAGACACTTACTGGAACTGCTTTCACTGTCACTGGTGTTTGACGTCACACCTTCTGCAACCAAGAAAGAATCCTTGATTTAATACATACGATGGACAGGAGATGACTGCCACCAGATGTTGACAACCACAACTACTGGGGATGGGGGAGGGGGGAGGGGAGTACAAGGGCATGTTGGACAGACTGCTGGCACATGCTCTAAACCTCCACTGCATCGTAGTTCAGTGCATTCTTGGAGGAAATTCCGGTTGATCCACCTCCACTCAGGAAGTAACTACACGCACTCATGGATTGCTTGCCCAGACAAGAGTCCAGCAGGGTGTGCAACCTATCTCCCTCAGTAATTCATCTCCAGAAGGCATACAGAGAGAAGCTCGGGCACAAGCAGGGTTGAAGCACAGACCTACAGCCCTGTTCCTCGCCTGCTTCCCTTTGCCCCTGAGAGCACAATCCTGCCCCTGAGAGCCGCAGAGAAGGGAAGAGGAGGGAAGGGAGGGGTTGGTAAGCATGCAACTGAAGATAAAGAAACACAGGGCTGCCCAACTGAGGTGTTCCCATTTCTACAGCATGGCAGAAAAGGAGTTCACACACAGAGTGTAAACACAGCAGAGTTCAGGGTCTGATCAGCTGGGAGTTTCCTGATATTAGGACCGCCTCCGTGCCCTTCCCAATTTATCTTCTTGGCTGACACTTGGCTGTAAGAGGGCCCCAGTCAGATGCTGGCCTTTCTACTGGCCAACTCACCACACTGCTGTGAGCCATTTTCCAGGAACAGGCTCCTGAGGTCAATCAGCAACATGCTAATAGAGTTTCCTCATTTGGAAGGAGGCAGTCAGTCCATGTGAAGTGCTCATAATGAGACTGGGCTCAAGTGAGCTGTGTCTATGCCAAGCACACCATGAGCTTGTTCCCAGTCACACACATGCTAGCAATGGAAAGTGATCATGTGCAGTAAAGTTCCACTTACTCAGGTTCTTTGCGCCATAATAATCGTCACTTAACCCAGGGAAGTCCTGATTCACAGCCAGCCAGAGGGGGAGAGGAAGGGGGGAGAGAAAGGAAGGAGAGGAGGAAAGAGAAAGAGTGGGGAAGAGAGACAGTGCCAGGATAGCATTAGTGACAGGAGTGCAGAATGGCTGAGAGCTGCAACAGCAAGTGAAGTTAAAGCTCATGACCAACACTTCCAAAGATCCTCTCTGTCCCAAAACCTCATATTTGAGCATGATCTCTAGAATATATGTGAGGCAAAAGCTTGCTCCAGAAGAACCCCAGATACAGGACACAAAGACAGACATCTCCAGCTATCTGGAGAGAAAGCAGAGGACAAAGTTCTGTGCCCTTCTGTACTAGGCTAACCAGGTCTGGAAACACCAAGCTGAGTCCCTTGTTCTGAGACCAGCTGCCCCGGGGCTGTCAGGTCGTCATTTGTACAGAGTAGCATAGACCCCAGCAGCCAGCACCAAAGCCCAAGAAAGATACCCCCAAAAGATGGTATCTTCTGCTCCTCTCCACCAATCCATGGACACTGGTCCCTATTCCACTGCCAGCAGTAGTTGATTATTTGTTGATCATGCCAATTTGTAAGCTCCCAACTCACTAGACTCTAGTTACTACTATGCAATTACCATAACTGAGAGCACAAAGCAAAGGAAGGGTCATGCTCAAAAGATCAAGTCTGCTACACAGAGTGCAGGCTGAGTTATTCTGAACTCTTATTGTAGTATCTCTTCCCAAAGCCTTAGGCATCTGCCCATGTCTCACTAGAACCCACATCAGTAATCAGACTTCTTGTACAGGAGTTGCTATTTCTCGCATCCTAATCCTTGACTGCTTTTCTAGTCAATGGTAAGGAGAGCAGCAAAACGTAGTGACCCAGCATATGCTTTGCAAGGAGAAGCTCTGAAATTCAATCCCTGACAACTCCAATTAAAGGGATCCGATGGCAGGCAATAGGAAAAGTGCTGAAAAGGTGCTGGGGGTCAAGAAAAAAATGCAAGGCTAGATAGACCAACTGTAGCATAAAGTGGCTTCAGGTGGAGGCAGGTAGCTCTGCAAAGTCAGCAGAATGCTTATCAACACAATGTTCCCAAAATATGGCATGACAGCATAATGCTGCCCTTCATGTAGATAGCATGTAAAGATCTGCTACTTTTTAAGGGCATCACTAGCACAAATGTAGCAATTTTGTATGAATTTTGGAGTGTGCACACACTTGCTTCTTTTGACCAATTTACCCTATGTTACGAAGCAGGGAAAGGAGATACGCCCGCTGCCGAGGCCCTGGGCGATCACTGCTGCCTTCAGTAATGTCCACAGAACCAAGCTCTCCCAAGAAACTTACAGAGGCGGTCATTTGTGCAAGCTTCAGCTCACGGCAGCAGTAAGGACTGCTGAGCAAATCCTGGATGCTCAGGAAGGGTAAAGTGCTCCAGGGCTTGACAGATCCCACACTGAAGGACAAACGTTGCAAGCAAAGTCTGGAAACCTACCTATACATGCAAGGCAAGGAAGACTGGGCAGCCCTGAGCAAGGTGGTCAGGAGGACTCGGCGGCCTCTCCTGGATCCAGAGGGCTCAGCCATTCCTTACTGCAAACTTTCCAAGCTCCCTTTGACCTCAGGCAGAGAACTGTTTGGCCACCCCTCTCCTCATAGCCAAGTTAATGGACAATCATTCTCACAGAACTGATCAGAGCCTCCCGTGAGCATAGTTCGGATAGCCTGATGCCCCTGGAGAGCCCAGCCACAGGGCAACGCGGAATCCACCCCCCGAGGAAGCTGCGTGCCACTTCTCCCTCGCAGCAGCTGCTGGGGCTGCCAAGACAGAATCCAAGCAGGGCAGCTGCTACTTACGTTCCTGTCCGCTGCTTTCCTGGGCCAAGTTCTCTTTGCTCTTGTAAAAGGGGAATTTTCGAGAGAGGCGGAAACTCTTTTTACGTTTCGTTTTGATCAACTGTGAAGAAGGTGAAGATGCAAGGGGTGTGGAAGGAAACAAAAAGGACAAAAACAAAAAGGACAAAAAACAATGGCGTTTAAAGCATGCAAGAAAAATTAAAATGAACAGACAACGGTGATCAGTGTCAGGGAAGCTACCCCGCAAATGAAATCATGGAAATTGCATGTAAACGGGAATGTAAGAGAAATTAGGGGTGGAGGAAAATGATTTTGAAGGATGGTGGAAGATGACTAACAGCTACCATTTCCACAGCAACACGGAGGTGTCCCCAGTGGCCCTGCCCTCTCTCTGCCCCCAACCAGCCCGTGCAGGAATTCAGTCCCAGCCTTCTACAGGCACCCCTGAGCCAACATTAGAGAATTTAGGGTCAACCATCAGTAACCTGTCCTGTGCCAGACGTGGAGAACGTGTCTGGATGAAGCCTGAGGAGACCCTATCCGGACAGCCTTCTAGACACGCTCCACCTACAGACCTAGACCCCTCCATTCCACCGTCACCTGAGCAGCACGAGGCAAAAGTGCACCTTGCAGAAATACGCTTACCTTCCTGATCTGATTTCATTTTCCTTCAAAACCCTTTCCTATTTCTCACACTCATACATTAACACCCAACCAGCACTTACCCGGTTGGATTCTATCATCCCTGTTCGAGCATGGAACTTCACCGTTTTCAAGCGCGCCCTTTCCTTTTTTTCCACTCTGACAGTACCAAGAAAAAGAAAGAGATGCTTATGTTTAAGCGTGACTTTGATCTCACTCTGATCATTGTCCCCGCCTCACCAAGATCTATATTCAAGAAACTCATAGAAATTGCTGGCACAAACAGAGCCAATTAACCAGGCTTTCTGTGTAAGGTAAAACAGAAGCTCAAAAATCCAAACAGCCCCCCATAATGAGCAGAACTTTCTCTGCCAACAGAAACTTCATTGTGCTTGGAAACAAAAAACAGGAGCCACGGCCACTTCCTTGTCAGCTCCTTCTGACAACCCACCTCAGGGAAAGAGCCACCCAGCCAAAGGTGAGACCTGCCACAGGAAAACCGCCGCTGCAGAACACACACTCACCTCTTCTTGCTGGGTATGACTCCAATCTGCTCACTCTCGCCATGAGGGGTCACTAGCCTCGCCTGCCACCACTCATCATCGGAGGCATTGATGACGTGCAAAATGTCCCCGTAAGAAAAACTGAGTCCCTGACTGGGCAAGCAGCTGTCTCGAGTTCGGTCATAGTCAAAGAGGGCCCTGTTCGGGAGTAAGGAAGATTAGCAGGATTGCCACAGTCCTACCTCACACAACATGCAGTTATTCTGCAAAGTTTCACACTGAAGCCTTCCCCAGTCCTCTCTGGACCTTGGACCTTTCGGTGGATGCAACACATACGTTTTCCTACTCAGCTATTTTCTCTTTTCCAAACTCCCTCTCCTTTAGACTCGGGATACTGCTTTGAAAGTGGGCCCCTTTATCCAGGTCCATCCTGGTGACTCTATGTCCTGCCAACCTAAAAGCTCCAAATATTCGCTCTGTAAGCCCCCAGCCATGTATCACACCCTCAGCACAGCTGTGCCTTGCACAGAACCACGAGTGTCGCTGTTTCGCCAGTTCCTCTTGTGGCCACCAGGGGGCTCGTTCCGCAGCGTTTTCTGGAAGGAAGCTAGCGAGATCTGCGCCTCACCCCAGGAGCACCGGTGTCAGATTTAAGGGTTCACTTCCTGCTCTGCACAAAATGTTTTGGTTGAGGCTAGATCGTGCTTTCCAGTCCGGCATAACAAGCCTTGTAATTACCCCAACCGGCAGCTTGTCCATTTCATCAGTTTCAGTGAAATTGTGCCCGAAACTACTCCACCCAAAAGGGCTGAGTCTCCTCTCCCAAGCGCAGAAGGACGTGCAAACTGCTGCCTCAATCCCAGGAGCAGTCAAGAATCTGCTGTACAAGATGGACTCAGAAATCCTTGCTGCACTGCCAGTGTGTGTTGAAAAGACAAGCTGAGTTTGGGAGGACGGATAGTTCCAGAGACACCCACCAAAAACAATGAGCAATGGGCCAATTCATCCGACTTGTTGGAGCAAACGTCTCACCATGGTTGGCACATAACCTCATGTAAGTACCTAATGCTGACATCTCCCCCAAATTACAGAAACGCTCAGTGACTGATATAGCCAACTACTTTTCCAGGGGCAACAGATTTACTGCTTACGCCCTTCCTCTTGCAGGCATAGGATCAGTCAGCGTATCACAGCATATGAGAGAAATAGCGAGGCAATAAACAGATAGCTGCTTCAGGGTAATTAGCAAGCCAAAGCAGTAGCCCTACAGAGAGCTCATCTCTCTTCCTAAATTGAGAAGACTCGGCAGTACTTTGCAGAAGAGTTTGGCCCACACAGGCAGTTTTTGCCCAGCATACTCATGCATGGCTAACTAAACCAAGTTTACTCAACTCAATTTCAGGATTCACACAACACGAGCAAATCACATGGCTAGGTTTGCTCAACACACGTGACTAAAAAGTTGGCAAGTTTTTGACTGAATGGGTCATGCGAACTCTGAGGACTTGAGAACCACAAGTTATCCAAGAGCTCGCCACAGACCAAGATCGCTGCTACCCCACACTCCAGAGCCCTGTACAATACCATGCTCTGGCAGACAGAGGCTACGCAGCCTTTGGGATGGTGCTCAAAATAGGAAGCAATGTTTCAGGAAGACTGGAAGTCCCTGAATCACATGCTGAGGACATGCTGTTAGAATTATGATGACTGAAAAATGCCTAAACTTTGTCGTAAACAAATTAAAAATAAAGATTCCTGATAACTAGGCTTTAATGCATAGTTTCTCAACAAGTGGTACCATAAGGCACCTTTTTCTGGGGGAAGAGAACTACAGGTCACCTATGGGTGCAACATAGCAAGAGAAAGATTGAATTTGAAGAAGACAACATGTCCTCTTTTCAGCACGAAAAAAGAGTCATTATGCTTACCGGACATAGAGGGACCGCTTCTCGCTTGTTCGAAGTGATCCAGACCCTGAACTCATGCTGCTATTCATCATCTGCTCTCTGAGGTCATGGATCTTAGACTCAAAGCGGCTGTACTCTGCAAGCACAAAGGAGGGCAGGGATGGAGGTGGTCAGTTCCCATCCAGTTCAGCACAATGGACTCTTTGCATACAGATTCATACGGAATGGACGAGGACGCAGCCCTCGCCAGAGCCACCCGAACACATCACCTGTAGAACTCCCAATCCATGTGCTATTACTTCTCAAGGTCCTGAGCCAAATACGCTGCATACCTAGATAAAGGTGCTTGGCCTTTTGAACAAGTCATAGCTTAATGGGGTATGACAAACAGGCTAAAGAGGCAACTAACGGACAAAATCAGACCGCATTTAGAATATCACTCTAGGTGTGATTACCCCATCTCGGAAACACTACTGTGGGAAAGAGGTAGAAAGCAGCAGCCAAGCTCACTAAAGCACTGAAATAATTTCCCTGCCAAGGCCGGGCTGAACGAGCTGGAGCTTACATCTGGGCAGCTGAAGAGGTACTGTAGAGGTGAAGGATGGAGAGGATAGACCGAGGCTTTTGTCCTTTTACAATTCCAGAACTCACAAGACCCAACAAAAGTGGCTGATAGGAGGCACAGTAGAGGATACTAAAGTAGCATTTCCCAAAATTCATAATGAACATCTAGCATCAACGACCACCAATACTTCAATGGCTAAAGATGCAATTTTTTAAAAGAGAGTTGGCACATTTTATAGTAAATACCAGTTCAAGAGTCCATTAAGGGCATCTGGCTCTCTGGCCCCGTTGGAGATAAGATTAACAGTAACAAAGGTGTGCTCTGTTGCCGAAAGCATTGCAAAAATGTGCACCGATGGTGCCATATCAATCTTCCATGCGCTGCACCTGCATGCATTCATATGATACATATCAGCAAGCAAAGGGTTATATATAAACACATGATCTTGGGTTTACCCGTTCACTTCAAGGTTATGACTTTTCTATGGCACATATTAGTGCATTATATTTACTGGCTTATAGTTAAACAGTAACAACTTTATTACACAGGAGCCTCCATAAGGAAGAAGTGGGTTATTCTGAGAGTTTTCTTTTACACTGAATTAATTTAATAAAATAGATGTGCAGAAGACCCCAAGATCTTCAAGAAATCAAGTCCCCAAGAACGGTGGACTTTCCATATCGCTGCCATTAAGAGAGTTTCCCACTACTTCCAATAAGAGTAATTTTACTCCAATAGCAGAGAAACACCCTGGTCGCTTTCCAAAATTCAGCATATACTAAATTCCACAGAAATAGTGCCATCAGAAACTCAAGAACCTTTGCTGTTACTTAGTGAAATAAAACACATTTTTCTTGTCTAACGGAATAAGATCATCTGAGACTATCCAGGTACTGCTTCACAGAATGCCAGACCCAGAGTCTGGGACAAATTCAGACAAAGGGCTCAGCTACTGGTGACCAATTTGAAGTCACCCTCTTCCCAGCATTTTACCACATGCTGTTTTCATTGCACTTGCCTCTTCCTTAGTGGTTATTCATCCGGATCCAAAGTTGCTAACATAGCCAACTATTTTAAGCCTGGTGAGTTAGCTTGTATTTAACAATATCATATCCTGTAGGTTTCTGAGGTGACGTAAAACACACCAGTTTTGTTTTTTCTCAATTATTTAAAGTATAAATTATAAAGTATGCTGTAATCCCTTAATGCTATCTACTTGCTGTTCATAGCAACTGAAAACTAGCACTATATTTTGAATTGCTTTTTAAAAAATCCCTTTATTAAAAGGAAATATTTATGGTCAATAATGGAATCTATATAATCAATATTAATATTAATAAACAATATTAGTAGTAAAGGAACCCCAATTCAGCACTCAACTTTGTTAGTAAACATGAAACACATAATCCCTTCTGGAAGTTTAAACCAGGTAGACTGAACACGCTTTCTCTAAGCTTGACAGCTGAAAAGAAAAGCGAGGAAACTTCAGAAGTAGGACTTATTCAATCTTCCCTTTTGGGCCTCTACATACATGGCCCATAAGCTCTGAACTGCTGCAACATAAAAAACATGTAAGTTGAAAACACAGCCTTGAATATGAAGTATTTTGCCAGTTATTCCAATGTCAATTCTGCTGTATTTTATTACAGTACACCTGATTTAATTCCTTCAACCCCAGATATGCACTTTACAGTGTATTTTGTGCAGCTGAAAGTTATTTTTATAATTTGCTGGATTCTGTGTCTCTACATTCCAGTCTGATTTTTCCCGATAGCTTTCTTACGTGCCACGCTTCCTCCAAGTAACTAACCTCTTCCCCGCTCTCATTTCAGTCACATCAGTCCTACAGACTAATTGAAAAACTACCCAAGGTCATGTCATTTTATTCAATGTGTGGCTCAGCTGGCAAGGACTCAATTAGCTTGTGAATTTTCCATCCCAGCCAGCACCCTAGCCGTGACCAGTACTGATCCAGTTTTCCAAAGTATCAATATATAATGCAGGAATAACATGAACTGGTTAAGCCAGCTTCAGGAACAGTATATTTACATAAATACAAGAAAAATCATTTAATATATACGTGCACAAGAGCGTGTCCATATATGTGGCTTGACCAACGCTGCAAACGATTCCGTGACAAGGCAACGATCAGAGCTTGAAAATACCCTTACCCCATTTATGCTCCAAAGAGCTTGTTCCTGTATCATTAGCTCCCCCTGACAGCGCAGGGTTCTAAGCCTCCGTCACAGACTCTTGGAGAAAAAGACTTTTTGGTCATTGCCCTCAGCATTAATGCCCACAAAGAAGAGAAGCAGCAGGGATTGTCTCAATTACCCTCCTCAGGCCTGTTTTAAATAGCCCAGCCACAACCACAGCTGGTGAATATAAATGGATTAAAATAAGAGGTCATTCTTTTAATCTCAGAAGATGAAGGACAGAGGCCCCACTGGATTGCATCCTGTTCCTGTTTTAAGGAGGACTGCATGATCCCCTGAAGACCCAAGACAAGGTTCTCTCTAGCTCTGCATGATTCTTGAAGCTCATATAAGCCTATTGATATGAAACCCTTTCCATAGCAGAAAGTTCTCTTCCAAATCCAATAGAAATAAAATGGCCACTATGGGGGTGGGGTGGGGAGAGTGCGTCTGGTTCAGCATTAACCACAAGGAAGTTTAGCATAAGCCTCTCACTGGCAGCACAGCAGCCCCAGAGTCTTCCAACCAAACGGGTCACTGCCGGCAGCAGATCACGCTCACGCTCCCTCCTTGCAAATGCCATACAGGACAGACAGATTTCAGGACAGCCTAGGAGCTGAGAGCAGCTCTGTAATCTATGCTGACAGCCTCCAGCTACTTCCTTCAGCTACTTAAAAGCAGCCCCCATCGCTCGGCTCCTCGCTCTGTTCAGAAGGATCAGCAGAAAGGATGTTTCTGCCATGATGGCAAGCGCTTAGTTCCTAGCGCCTGGGGCAGAGGACAGCGTTCTCTGATGAGCTTCTCATGACAACAACACTGAGCAGTGGGGAGGAAACCAGGCCAGCCTCAAAAGCCAGCAAGGAAACACTCTTCTCATAGAAGGAGCTTTCAGCGGCACTGAAAAGCTTCGGGGGGGGGGGGCGGATAGAGCATACCACATAGTGAAAGAGTAGCAAGCTCTATGAGAAAAGAAGCAGAGAACTAACACTGTAACTTCTTTTTGGTCAGAAGCGAATCTATTCTTTATCTAAAGGTTCCATAAACAAATGTGTATCACGTTTCTGAAATTCAAAAGTTCAAAAAGGATGATGGTGGCTTTACCTACATCACAGCCAGGAGGAATCTACTTTGTGGATTTTCAATGCCTCAGCTTCACCCCTCAGGATTTCAAATTTGTGAGACTATTATTTGTGTTTCATCCCCCACAACTGATAATTTTACACACATTACTGTATTTTTTGTAAGCCAAGTCCCACTTTCCTATACGGTTAGTTTCTATGGCAAACCCAGTTAGTAGCCATCTTAACCTGTAACATGTGGCAAAGCCCTCACATCAAAAAGCACACAAGTTACAGGTGTCACAGCGCATGAAGTCTCATGACAAGCAGGAATCTAGCATCCCACATTAACCACACTGGTTAACTCAGCTCCTTCTGACGAGGAGGATTAATCCTCTCTTCCTTCTTAGCTGCCAGCATTTCAGCTGCAAGCCCCACAGAGCACTCCGAGCAGCAAGTCAGGGAGAAGGTGAGCCGAACGAGAAACTCCTGTCCCCGATACACCCTTCCTTAGTGACAAAGAATGAAGCGGCTACCAGAGACTGACTCTTCTATCCAAAAGCAGAATGGTTAGTCTATCAGCTTCACACCAGTAGCAGAGTCAGAGCCTCCCTGAAATAACTGCAAGATTCAGCAAGACCAAGCGAGTACTGTTTCAGCCATAAAGCACAAAATGCAGCATGATTTGATTATCATGATTATCACACACTGGCACTAAATGTCTCCTCATACTCTACAGGCAGAGCTATCGAGCATAACTGTCTGCTCTGGACGGGCTGGCGCTCATTCAGCTGTGACCAAAAAACTGATCCATTCAAAAATTTCCCTTGGAATTTGAAAAACAGCCATATTTGCAGGGCAAGATATCGAGCGTTCCTTCTCTGCCAGGGATGGGAACCTGTACAATCCAGTGGTCATTGAACTTATGCTCAGCATCCTTCACTACCAGCCATGCTAGCTGGGACTGTTAATGGAGCAGTTCAGGGCTGTTTGGAGAGCCATAAATTCTGCCACCCTGTTCTATGCAATACAACTCTGCTTATATATCTACAGCACAGGCCAACTGAAGTGCTGCTTCCTCCATGAAGATGAATGGTCTTCAGGTGACTTAATAAAACTACTGCCCAAAAGTGGATTGGGGATTATTTTCTCATGATTGACATTTGGTCTTTTTTTCCCCACATTATAGTTCTGGCAGGCCCAGATCATCTTGTTATAGAATAGACAGTCCTACTTAAACCAGTTTTATACCAATGCAAAAGGGTGACAAATTAAGAGATTCTAATACAGGTAGTCCTCGCTTAACAACCACAATAGGGACTTGAGAATTCATCGTTACGTGGGGCAGCCATTAAGCCAGACATCATGGGACTGCACCTGATTTTACGACACTTTTGTAGTGGTCGTTAAGTGAATCACACAGTTCCCCACTGATTTGCTTCCCAGAAGCCGGCTGGGAAGGTCACAAGTGGTGATCACGTGACCCCGGGATGCTGCAACTGTTTTAAGCGCGCACCCAGATCATGATCATGTGACCACAGGAGTGCTGCAATGGCTGTAAGTGTGAGGACTGGTCGTAAGTTACTTTTTCCAGTGCTGTCGTAACTCTGAACGGTCATTAAACAAATGGTCATTAAATGAGGACTACCAGCAGAGTAAGACCATTGTTCAAAGATAGTTTTTATCCTTTATTACAAGGCCACATTTTCCAAAAAGAAGCAAGCCTGGGCATGGAATTTGGGCCAGTCCACACCTCTGTTGCTTCAATCGCTAGATTACATACCATGTTAACTCCTGGTTTAGCATTATGTACACAAACAGTAATATGCTCACACGCAAAATGCCAGGTTTCACACTCAGCCAGGAAAAAAAATGACTCGGTTTCACATTATTAATCCTTGGATGGTTGTTATGTACTAACCAAAGCCGGTGATTTACGATAATTTGTAGCTTGCTAAGCAAACCACAAAAGGACTCCAGATTTTAAAACCAGCTTGTCACAAACCCGACTAGAGTTTGGGTCAAACAGCAGCCGCCGGTCCGCACGCGGGACCGACGAGAGACGCGCTGAGGCTGCGC